GTGATGGACTGTCCCAAGGCAGCCATGCCTTGACCAGGTGTTGGCTGGAAATGTGCATGGTGGCTGCCCTTGCTGGGAATACAGCAGCTGGCTTCACCTAGACACTCTTCACGTCTGACTCCTCAGCTACCAGAGCGCCCTCTCATGATTTTATGCAGGGAACATGGCAGATGAGCACCTCACCCTGCACACCAGGTCACTGTGCGAGGGTCTCCAGAGAAGGGAAGTGAGGGATTCCTTCCCAGGCTAGTAAGACAGACACTGAGCCTTAGGAAGAACACAGTGGAGTCTCTAGGGAAGAAGAAAGATCCAGAACAAGAGAGCAGAGAAGTTGCTCTGGAGAGGAAACAGGAGAACCAGGCCTCTGCATTCCTAGCTTGCAGGAAAGTTAACCCACTGGCTCCCTGCATGGTGGCAGGTGGCAGTGCCCAGGAAGCTTTGGCATCCACACTTGTGCCCGTGTTGCCACCCATCCTGATTGTGGCTCTGTAAGGGGGCCATTCTCTCCCAAAGGGCAGCCTCAGCCTGGCTCTCCATGGTGGAGCAGGCTTGGAGGAAGACTGAGGTGCAGGGGGAGAGAGGGTGCCTGACAGCCTGCCACACTGTTGCCAGGAAGATGGGACCAGCAGGTGGCAGCCATGAGCTGAGCCACAGGGTGTACATCATGGGGGCAGGGCCAGCCTTGTAGCTGTGCAAACTGTGCCAGCCCACAGTTTCCAGCCTGCCCTGGCCTCACACTGGCTCTGTCCATGTGGAAACCTGAGCTAGTTTCCATGAGTTATGTCACCCATCCTGTTCCTGGGCCTCTGTCCATCAGGAGTGGAGGCTGACTGTGATCCTGGAGGAAAGCCTCATCACAAGTGCAGGACGTGACAAGTCACTTAGTGTTCATGCACATCTCTAAACAGAGTGCAAGACTATGGCCTTCCTTCATGGGAGGAGAAATTGAGATAGTGTCAGATCCGGGCAGGCTCTGGCTCCCTCTGTCCTTGTTTAGAGTAAGCAGCCCATGGGGACAAGATGCCGTCAGGATGCACTGTACGTCACTGCTTAGGCTGGTGTTTACATAGTGGCAGACATAGCCCTGTAGGGCAGATACAGAATCCTCAGCAATCTTTTCAGTGAGGATTGCAAAATCATCTTCAGTTCAAGTTATCCCTCACCACTGTCCCATTTGACAGCTGCTTAGATAGCATTCCTGATCATTACAGTGATGTCCTGGTAAAACAAATGTCCCAAAGCAGAAAGCCAGAAAACCAATCTTTGGTTTGGTCAAGCTAGCTTAGGAAAGAGCTATTCTTAAGTACTTCCTACTACTCGTGAATGTATGATAGAATTTCAAGACTCACAGTTGGGCCACTTCCAGTAGAGAGGTTGCACTCGGGCAAACATCAGTCACTCCTCAGAGCTCACTGGCAGCCAGAGTGTGGCCAAGAGAGGAACTGATGAGATGTAACAGGCGTGCAGAGCCCCCTGCTGGGAACTGTTTGAAAATCAAGAGGTGAAACAGGATTTCCTCAAAGGAGCTCCAGGGTCAGAGAGTTTTTAGAGAGGAGAAGAGATAAGATCTCTTTCTCCAAAGATACAGCTAGAAGGGTAGGTCAGTCGAGGAAGGCGGGAATGGAGTTACCATGCTATGATTGCTTAATGATTAACTCTGTTCTCCAATGACAGCCGGTTCTGCTAGGCGGTCCTGTGATAATAAAGTCCAATAAATCCTGAAGGTGGCACAGCCTTGTGTCGCCTGCAGTGGGCATCTGTGCAGATGGCTGTGGGGCTCCAGGGGCCCCTGCGAGGGCTTGCAGTGTTGTTCTTGCTGTGCGTGTTGCCCAGGGCTGAGGGCAAGAAGGTGCTGGTGGTGCCCATGGAGGGCAGCCACTGGCTGAGCATGCGGGATGTTGTGCGGGAGCTCCATGCCCGAGGCCACCACACCGTGGTCCTGGCTCCAGAGGTGAATATTCACTT